TGAGCAAATAAGGAGACCACACTGGAATATGATGTTTGTGGATAGCATGGTCATTTGCACTGAGAGTCTAGAGGAAGTGCAAGCTGGATTGGACCAATGGAGACAACTGCTACAGGGAACAGGAATGAAACTTAGTCAATCCAAAATGGAATATATGCACTGTGATTTCCCTAAGGTACCTGATGTTGGAAATGTGGTAGTTGAGAAACATGTTAAAAACATTGACAAGTTCAAGTACCTGGGGTCAACTGTTCAGCAGAATGCTGAGCTAGACAAAGAGTTGAACTATCAAGTAACAGCAGGGTGGATGAACTGAAAACTGGGGACAGGGTTATTATGCAACAGAAGAGCATCAGTGAAGCTGAAAGGGAAAGTCTACAAGATGTGTGTCCAGCACAACTGCATGCAGCAGAGACATGGCCCCTGAAGAAAACTGAAGAAAAAAGCCTGAACGTGACAGAGATGAGAATGCTCTGATGGATATGTGGAGTGACGAAGACGGATCAAGTGAGTTATATTTACATCAGAGGAGAGATGAAGCTAGTGGAGGCATATGAGAAGGAACAAGAGAGGACTGGCATGGTACAGGCATGTTTAAAGTTGTTCAGAAGAATAGGTGGGAAACAAAGTTACCAGAATGGCTCAACCAGGCAGAAGAGGAAAAGGAAGACCAAAGATGAGATGGAGACAGATAGTGAAGAGGGACATGAGAGAGAAAGAGTTGGAGGAAGAAGATATGTATGACCAAAGACAGTGGAGAGCCAAAATCCATAACAGTGACCCCATTTAGATGGGACAAGTGAGGGAGAGGGGAACAACTAGAAGTCTGTGACAGAGTTTTCACTATAAACATTTGAGCAATCAAATTTCCAGCCTCTGATCATGCAGAGTTGGGAATGGGCCAGGACTATAGACCCTCAATTGTCAGGGGACACTAGGGAAATAGGCAGGAAACAAGGGCACAAAGAGGGGTATACCCTTCTGCTTTACCCTGTCAACATTATAGCTGCTGACCCTGGCTGACCTAGCCAGAGTCACTCCTGCCTTGCTCCAGCCAGAGGCTGTGAAGAGTGGTTGCATGGGAAACAGGGCTTAACTGGGGGCAGTGGCACACAGTGTCCTCCTTCCAGCTCCTGCTCCCTACCTGTCCACCTTCCTCTCTGGTGAGCTCAATGGTTGGTAGTGGGCACTGAAAGGAGAAACTTATAAGCCATTCCCACTGTCTCTGCCTAAGCCCATCTCCCTGCACAGCCATTCTCTGCATTTCAGAGCAAGAATGGGACAGGAATGGCTCTGGGGCTCTCCTCATGCCTGTGTCACTAGGGACAGTTGCAGGGGCACACATGTTCCTCCTTCCACAGTCTGGCCCCAGCCAGTGGGGGACACCTGCAGGCGAGAGGCAGGGAGCAGGCACCAGAAGGAAAACCCTGTACGCACCTGCCAATGTCCCTGAGGAGCCTGGCACCATCCATAGCCTCATCCTAGGGAAGGAGCAGCTGAGGAGAGCAGCAGCAGTGGCAGAAGGGAGATGCAGCCACACCAGTGCATGCCCCATGTTCTCCCCTAAATGCCTGTACTGCCTGCCCTTGTTCTTTTTCTACGGGCAATGCCCCATGATGGGAAGGAGATGCAAATGTCTCCTATTGATTAGTTATATTTTCTGTAGGGATATACTGGTGAATGGCAGAGACCAAAGAGTTCTACCACTGTAAGCAGTCAGTATTGGCTGTGTTAGTGATGTAGAGGCAGGGAGGCAACTTCCCTGACATGATTAAATTACCTAGCAGCTTATTAATGGTTTTTCCTGTTCTTTTCTTCCATGTAGGAGCCAATGTTTCACATTTTTTTGATTCAGCAGGAATTCTAGTAGGTCAGTTACAGGTTAGCAGGCAAGATAAAACTTGGTGACAGAGAATACTATTCCAACTCTCTTTTAGGCAGGGCCCTCCAAACTCTTTACGCTCTCAATAGGTGTCCCACCTCAAAGACAAACATGGAGTTTCCATTGGTAAAAAATATCTCCATCTTTCCTTGGCTCAGCCTCTGGCAGGCAAATTGCTGATCACTAGAAGTTAGAACACATTTACATAATAATTATAATAATTTTAAAAATAACTTACCTTGATGTGATCTTCTGTTGCTTTGGTAAATATTCACTGGCTGCCTCTACCCTGCAAGTCTAAAAAACATGCAAGGATGACACATCAAAAATGAAACCTGCCAACTGTGGCATTGTAACATTATCTTGTGGGGGAGAGAGGAGTATCTACTTTAAAACATTTCCCCAGAAAGTGGTCTGTATCTGTATATTTCCTCTGGCATTCACTTAAGAAATCTGAGGATTTAATCAGTCCACAGTCCAACCTCAGCCTGAGGATGATGCAGGAGCAGGCCAAAAGGAAACATGCCAAGGATGATATTATCCTCTAAATGCAATTGAAAGGCAATGAATTCTACAAGCTACTGCAGGAACAGAAGGAATAAGTACAGGAACAGAGAGTGTCGCTGGCCCAGGAGGTGTTAGGAGGAGGGGGGAAAGGAAGTGGGAAAGAAACTGTCCTGAAGAAGACCCTTGAATTTTGGCAGTGCCTATTCCTCATGAAGCTGACCAGGTATATGTTCCCAGAAGCTGAAAGAACTACTGTAGACCTTGGTACAAATGCTAGCAGTGGTCACAGGGTACCAGGGTCAATTATTGTTTATAGCACTTGTACAGGCTTAAAACCTTTCACAAAACTCTGGACGGGATCCAAATGCACATGCACACATTTGGCACTCAAAGTTCTTGATAAGGATACAGAACCTTGTCAAGTTCCTGGTTCCAACTTCTCCTGCACCCTACAAGAAACTGCAGGAGTTGGAATTGATGGTCATCCCCTGGGGTTTGAAAAGTCTAGGAAACACGATGAAGGCCAACCCATCCCCTCTCAGTATCTGCCCTTACTGTCTGGTGCCACATATACAAGAAGAGTGGGGAAGAGAAAGAGAAAAAGGAAAGGGAAAACGTAAGCAGCAACTGCTCTTGCTGACACTATCCACATTCTGCTCTTGCACTTTCATTATTTCACATCTAGTTTATCCAGCACTAGCTTGCTTTGCACACTATATTTCAGTTTACAAATTAATATCTTTATTGCCTGTGGTCAGCACATCTAACCACACTGTTGTTAAGTTATTCATTGTTCATGTTTTTCCGTTTTCTCTGAAGTTCTCTGTAAAAACTGTTACTGCTGCCTACCCAGATGTAGGGGAAGGGGAAGCTGTGACCTTGCAAAACATGTTATTGCAATATAAAAACAAGAACAAACAACTGACCCAAACCACTGAAATGGCACCTTGTTACCCAAAGTGATATTTAGTTAAATTCATGATTGTCAGACAAATCAAATGTTTACCAATTACAATTCATCTAGGACAAAATACCCCATTGTGCTTTACCAGCCCCTTCAGCCAACAAGTTTAGTGAATTATTATAACAGGCAATTCCAAGGGCAGTTACAAGGCAATAGCCTGCAGAATAATGAGTTACCAAGCACTTACTTATTAGAACCACCACTGGCACCATTAATATGAGATATACTCCCTACTTTCCCTAACTTCTTATGACCCAGGGTTTGTACTTTATACTGATGTGCTTTCTAGTGGTGGCAACTGGCTACAAGAGTACAGTGTCCAGGTTACACTGTATTTGAAAATATTAACTTCACAGATCACGTGCAGGTATTAGTGGGCTACTGTAATACACACAGTGTTTGGGAAGGGTGGGTTCTCCCAAAATAGAGGTAGAGACCCACATCCTGCCAATGCCATTGGTCCTAGCTTATCCAAGCAACAAAAACATTGGATCTCCTCAGATCCTTGGATACTATGCATATTGTCAGTGTGGTTGACAAGAATCTTCCCATGTGATCCATCAAGGGCATCAAAACAGAAGAAATAATGTCTTTGCTGACTCTTGCAGGAGTGCAGACTCTGGTCTCATGTACCATCAGCATCCCAGTGCAATTTGGAAGTTCCATTCTCTGGAACCCAGCAAAAATTTCAGACATCTCTAGGGCTGATAATCCATGAAAAATACTACCTTCATAATAGGACTATGAACCTTCATTACCAACAGCCCAAACACTTGAAATGCCAACACCAAACCATTTAGCTATAGACTTGCAGCAGTCTGGATCTGCAACCTAATGCCATATACAAATTCCAAACAGAACAACATGGAGAAATTTCTTAATTTACAAAAAATCCGAGTGAATCAGGGAAGGGCAGATCATGTGATGCAAGCTCATCCAAGGCACCGTGTGCGTGTGAACAGAATACCTAGTAGGCAAACCTTTAGACATCATCTCCTATATACTTCACTGCTGCCAAAAAAAAAATTTTAAATCAAAAGTATTTCATTTTTCTTCTTAATCTCACTACACTACACCCCCCACCCCAATGTCAGTTTCTCTCCTTCCCTTCATTCAGACTTGCGACCACAGCAATATCTGATTCTTGTCTCCTTTTCTTCCCCCACACCAGTTTTCTAGGCTCTTTATTTAACCTATATCCACTATTCACTACATTAACTGTTAGTGAAATCCCTGTCTCATACCAGTCTAGTATTTACTTGGAACTTTTACACTCTCTGTCTTTTCTCCATGCTCCCGCCATCTCTCTGTGTTTGTTCCAAATGCTGCTTATAAATTCAGCTTTCCCTGTGCTGATCATACCATCCTCTTCTCAGAGAATCTCTCTCCATGGGCACCAACCCAAGGTTCTAATTAACACATTTCATTAAACTTTCTTTTCCTATCTTTCCTTGTAAGCCTATGGGAGCAAGAAATGGGTTTTACCCTACAGTCCTAATACTGGCTTCTACTGAAACCTATTGGAATTTTGATCCCACGTTAGTATTACTATAGTGACAAATAAATACAACCACATGGAATAAATCAGTGGCAGGGATATGGAAAAATTAAATATTTCTAATCACTGCGAAGAGACACAACTTTGATTCAAATACTGTATTTATTTCACAGCAAGAAACAGGCATATATTTATTAGGTTTGATACAAAAGAAGGAAGGAAGGAAAGGAGGGAGGGACGGAGGAAGGAAGGAAGGAAAAATCATTCAAACAATATAGACACGTATACCATATCCTCCTGCCACACAGCTAACAAGAAGGTATTAGGAGCAATCATGAAGTATATTAAAATATTACCCTATTCAATGTTTTAAAAACAATATGAAAATAAAAGTCCCAAAGCGTTACAACAGTCTTTATTTTGAAGATATATACAGTGAAGACCCAATTTTCACTTTTGACAAAAGAGAAACAGAAAAATCCATTACATTGAAAGCATGTAAACGTGAATCCAAAATGCAGCCACGTGCACTTCAACTCTCCATCGGCTTTAGTCTGTTCTACATGACAGAGGTATGGCATTTGGGAGGGGTTGGGGGGGTGGAGCTACAGTGTACCAGAAACGTACCACAGAAAAAGTAGCACTACTAATCAAGAAAGATGGAAGGTCCTGGAAACAGTCCCAGATGTTACCAGACCTCTCAAACTGGAAGTTGTCTACACTACCCCTAGTTAACAGAGACACTTTAATGTAGTACCAAGTAGCTAAATAGCTCTCCTCAGCAGACACAGCATAAACACTTCCCTGGAATGCAGGAACTTTTGGGGCAGGGTAGAAAGAGTCACTTTATTT